CTCCAAAGATTTTCTATGGGGTTGAGATCTGGAGACTGGCTAGGCCACTCCAGGACCTTGAAATGCTTCTTACGAAGCCACTCCTTCGTTGCCCGGGCGGTGTGTTTGGGATCATTGTCATGCTGAAAGACCCAGCCACGTTTCATCTTCAATGCCCTTGCTGATGGAAGGAGGTTTTCACTCAAAATCTCACGATACATGGCCCCATTCATTCTTTCCTTTACACGGATCAGTCGTCCTGGTCCCTTTGCAGAAAAACAGCCCCAAAGCATGATGTTTCCACCCCCATGCTTCACAGTAGGTATGGTGTTCTTTGGATGCAACTCAGCATTCTTTGTCCTCCAAACACGACGAGTTGAGTTTTTACCAAAAAGTTCTATTTTGGTTTCATCTGATCATATGACATTCTCCCAATCCTCTTCTGGATCATCCAAATGCACTCTAGCAAACTTCAGACGGGCCTGGACATGTACTGGCTTAAGCAGGGGGACACGTCTGGCACTGCAGGATTTGAGTCCCTGGCGGCGTAGTGTGTTACTGATGGTAGGCTTTGTTACTTTGGTCCCAGCTCTCTGCAGGTCATTCACTAGGTCCCCCTGTGTGGTTCTGGGATTTTTGCTCACCGTTCTTGTGATCATTTGGACCCCACGGGGTGAGATCTTGCGTGGAGCCCCAGATCGAGGGAGATTATCAGTGGTCTTGTATGTCTTCCATTTCCTAATAATTGCTCCCACAGTTGATTTCTTCAAACAAAGCTGCTTACCTATTGCAGATTCAGTCTTCCCAGCCTGGTGCAGATCTACAATTTTGTTTCTGGTGTCCTTTGACAGCTCTTTGGTCTTGGCCATAGTGGAGTTTGGAGTGTGACTGTTTGAGGTTGTGGACAGGTGTCTTTTATACTAATAACAAGTTCAAACAGGTGCCATTAATACAGGTAACGAGTAGAGGACAGAGGAGCCTCTTAAAGAAGAAGTTACAGGTCTGTGAGAGCCAGAAATCTTGCTTGTTTGTAGGTGACCAAATACTTATTTTCCACCATAATTTGCAAATAAATTCATTAAAAATCCTACAATGTGATTTTCTGGATTTTTTCTCCTCAATTTGTCTGTCATAGTTGACGTGTACCTATGATGAAAATTACAGGCCTCTCTCATCTTTTTAAGTGGGAGAACTTGCACAATTGGTGGCTGACTAAATACTTTTTTTCCCCACTGTATACACGGGGGGCCAGTATGAAAAATTTATGAACTCACTAATTGTAAGTCGCTCTGGATAAGAGTATTTGCTAAATTACTAAAATGTCAAAAAAAAAATGTGTTGTTTGATTTCGATTAGTGTAGGAAAGTTTTAAGTCAGATCGCTGTGTACCTCTCAACTACGTGTTTGGAACCTGTTGGGACCGTTCATTCCTTGGTTCTCCATGGACTATTAGCAACATTGTTGTGAAGCTTTTTGTGAGTCTAATTTACAAACGGGGACAGACGGAGGGACGAAGATACTTCCAGCCTTGAGTGCCTACCACAGCTAAGCCTCCTCTTTTTCTCTATTTCTCTCTCTCTTCACTGCTTTACACTGAAGTTTCTTCTTTTTTGCACTGCGCTCCCTTTGTTCAGTGCTGCGGTGGAATTTTCGTACTGCCGGAATTATTGACAATTGTGTGTTCGGGCCTGGTGCCTGAACAAAAATCGTTATCTTTACTGCTCTCTAACAATACCGCTACAAAGTGTTAATTAGCCTACTATTTCATATGATACAGCCAAAATATTAACTGGTAGCAGTAGGTTACATCTGTGTCAGTGGCTGTCTTTCTCTGTTTTCTCCCTACCTCGACTGCACTGTCCTCTGCAGCAGCAGCTAATCTGCCTGTGCTAAGCCTAGCATAATTTCTCACAGACAGTCACAACACTTGGGCCTCAATGAAAGAATGGGATGGTGTGGGGGCCTCACCCAAAACGAAATTGGCTGGTATGGGGGCCTCAATGAAAAACATGGCCTGGTCTGGTGTTAGAAATGCCAGGTTTCTGGTTACAGTCTATTTGCGCACTGGTATGGCCTATGTGTGCAAAATTAAGTGGAGTGGTAAGAATCCAATCATACAGCGCCTTGCAAAAGTATTCAGCCCCCTTATCGTTTTTCCTATTTTGTTGCCTTACAACCTGGAATTAGAATGGATTTTGGGGGGGTTTGTATCACAACATGCCTACCACTTTGAAGATGCAAAGTATTTTTTATTGTGAAACAAACAAGAAATAAGACAAAAAAACTGTATCAATATACAATTGTCATTGATATTTCATAACGATGTTAACCAACGTAAATTAAAATGTCCTTGGAATAAATTAAATGTAAGCATACTGATAATCATTTATCATGCAGCTGCCTGGATGCAAAGAAAATGTTGATAGACAACTCTATGTAAAAACAACAAGGAAATAATGTATTCCTTGTAGAATTTGTTCCGTGTGAATTCTGACGTCTGCATAGTGCCTCTAAAAATACATTCGTGAAACAGAGATGTGCTTCCTCCAACAAAAGCACAATTATGCAGAACCCCTCCCCTCCTGATCACATGAATGTGAGTAGTCCACAGTCCAATGTCTCTGCCCCTCCTCCACCCCAACAGCACGACAGCCACTGATAATAACCAAAGTTTATCAGTAATTGTGATATTGGAACACCTACATTATTTCCCCCATTCCCCAGTAGTTTATCAACCCATACATCTCAGATGTGGCCTACTATCTACAGGATGTGTCATCAGGTTTTGTCAGGGTAATATCTGACGTCAGCATACTGTAGGTCTACAGCCAATCACCAACCTAGGAAGCAACATTTATGCTGTTAGTCACATAGGCGTGGTGAAAGAGCTTTTCTACTGTAATAATACTGTATATATGCCATTTAGCAGACACTTTTATCCAGACCAACTGACAGTCATACATGCATACATTTGATGTATGTATGGTCCCGGGAATCTAACCCACTATTTTGGCATTGCAAGCGCCATGCTCTACCAACTGAGCTATATGTGTGTTTGTAACTTTTTCAAATACTGCTACTGTTTAAACTTTTTGTGGCTACATTTCTATTTATTTTATGGTAAAGCAGACAAGCGACAACGGTTAGTACTAAAGACAACAAAAAAAAAACACCCACCCATTCCCTCCCCCCCACCCATCCCCCCCCCCCCCCACCCACACAGGACCCTGTTTACTGATCAAGAATTTCCCTGTATTTAGCGCCATCCATCATTCCTTCAATTCTGACCAGTTTCCCTGCCGATTGAAAAACATCCCCACAGCATGATGCTGCCACCACCATGCTCCCTGTTTACTGATCAAGATATCATACCAGTTCTTTTATTTTTTTCAATAATAGTAGATAATAGCTCAACATTTGTCTCTTTAGCACCATTCATATGGGACACAGAAAGTTCCATGTTAGCAATGTCCATAAATGAAAGCACCCATTGACGCCATGGCAGAGAGTGAGGCTCTTGCCAACGTAATGCAACCATCTTTTTAGCTGCTGTAAGTCCGGGCTAGCCATATTCATTTTTCGCGAACCATAAGTTCCGTGGAAGAATCGTCATTTAGCAGAAGTGTTGGTGAAAAGGGAATATTTTCTTTAGTAACAATGGTGGATAAAGACATCGAAACCTGATTCCAGAATAAGAGGCTTCGAGCTAAATGTTTCTTTCAGATGCAAAGACAATCTTCTCTTTGTAAGATCCAGATTGCGCTCTTCCATATATTTGATATATTTTCGCTTCCCTTTGACATAAAAGGGCAGGGCAGACTTTGTAGAGTTATTCATTGACAAACTCTGCAATTCAATAAATTGCAGGAAAACCCACTGCAGGTTCACTGAAAATGTTTACACCATATTATTTAGGACAGATGGTTTCCTGTTAATATCCAATACAATATCCAATGACGATGTCTATGGCAGGAACCTCCAATTGTGTGTGGGTTTTAACATGGTTAACACCATGACAGTGAACATCTGAGTGAACCCGCGGCTTTCCTTTATCTGCAATTTATTGATCTTGGCTCATAGATTTGGAAACCCAAAACATTTGAGTCCAGTTCAAGTATTTTGACATCCATGGGACTACGTAGTGCACTCTAAGTGTGTGGACTGTGTTGACGTTCCATTGGATCAATAGTGGAATTTAAATAGTATAGAGGGCATGATAGCATTGTCAGAGTATGTACAGTATACAGTCCACATCGGATGATAAATAAGTAAGACAGGAACAACAAACAACATTTTTACACAGTGTTCATTCCACTCTTACACAGCATGCAAAATAAGCATGGCGCTTGCTATTATATTTTTTGTCACATACACCGGATAGGTGCAGTGAAATGTTGTTTTACAGGGTCAGCCATAGTAGTACGGCGCCCATGGAGCAAATTAAGGTTAAGTGCCTTGCTCAAGGGCACATCGACTGATTTTTCACATTGTCGGCTCCGGTATTCAATCCAACGACCTTCCGGTTACTGCCCCAATGCTCTAACCGCTAGGCTACCTGATTTGCCTTCCTAAAGCAGATGGCCATCAAGTCCTACCACTAGCAGTTGAGCAGAGTTTGCCACTTATGACCTGAGTCGCATCTCTGATGGGTGGATTTTCATCTCTGATGGGTTCATTTGCATCTAGTATTTGGCACTGCGCCAGTAAGGCCGCTGAGCAAGTCTCCTGACGGAACACCGTTATCATTTTGGAGGACCGCCTGCCTTGCAATTGCTCGTTGCTAACTGGTATGCTGTTAGAAATTTGGCAAGCCTGGATGTGGGGTTGTATTTTCTTACAAGGGGGTGATGAGAGAAAAGTATTGTTAATATAAAATGGTGTGGAGTAGGAATAGATGATGAGTTTGGAGAGAGAGAGGGGGTTACTGTCGGTCAGGTTGGTCGGTCGGTGGGACAGACCACGCTTGCTTAATCAGCTAGTGGCTGACTGAACTCAGCTAATCTCTGGACCCTTCTATTGAGCAACAAGATTGGAGACTGACACGGAGAGAAACAAAAGAGAGGGAGCCAGGAGACAAAGTCAAAGAAGGACAGAGCAGAAAGCAGGAGCAAGAGGGTTGAATTTGAAATAGAGGAGAGAAAATGGGAACAGAAAAGATAAGAAAGTTAAAGACTGATAGAACTATTGTCATGGGTGTGGCCACTTAAAGCAGTGAGGCACGACAGCAGAGACAAAAGCAACTTTTGTCTGGTGGTTTGAGGGGGAGGGTGACAGACTTAGGAAGACGGATGGGGGGTCTGAGGTAAAGGGGTCAATAGAAAGACAGAGAAAGACACTAAGTGGGAGCTTGTTCAAGTAGAGAAGGCCAGAGAACTCACTCATGAGGCAGAGGCAACGGTATGGATAGATAGAAGCTGGCAGGCATAGTAGCATATCAAGGGGGAGAGGGGACAGAGAGGGCCAGGCTGACTCACATCCCCTGCAGTCGGCATGGGGATAAAGGGCAAGGCGGCTTTGGCCATCGTGGTTCTACTGTTATTCCTTGGTTCCATGTGGCTCCGTGAGTAACATATTTGTCTCAAGCTAACACTGAGGGGAGGCTGTGTGTGTGTTTTAGAGAATGTGTGTGACTGTGACTCGAGCTAGCAGCATGTGACTGTCTGTGAGTGGCTGAGCATGTGGCCTGTACAGTAAACATTCCATGTGTTAGCCATATAGTGTAGCTTTATTGATTTACACATGCCTCAGTTGCTTGGGATATATAGAATAATTTCACATGGTGTCTGCTGACCTAGGAATCTATAGAAGTTTTGTTTTCCTCTTGTGGTGGTTAGGCTGCTGTCCAGGGCTGGCCCTAGCCTTTTGGGAGCCCTAAGCGAGATTTGGTTGCGGGGCACCCCACCTCACGAGCAGAACATTTGCGTGGCCCCCCTAACATTTGAGGGGCCCCCCTCTTGACTGCGGAGATACACTTTTTTTTTTTTTTTATACATTTCCTGCAATACTACACATTTTGTCATGGGGAGTAGAGAAAATGTTGCAGTTTTAAATCAGGTTTACAGCAATTCTACACATTATGCCATGGGGTGAGAAGTATTTAGCAATGTTATTTAGATCAATAGGGTGGCCTATTGTCATGCATCTCCCATGATCACAGATGTCTGTCTCATGATATGAGATGGAATGCATGAGTGATCTAATAAGCCTTTATTACTCCCATTGGGTGCACCTTGCCCCTGAGGTCATGACCGTGTGTGACAGCTTGGTAGAATGTTCAGAAAGACAGTCTTTTATCTTCATGATTATAAATGATGTCTGTCTAACAGAGCCAAGTGAGGTTTTGTCGCTATTCTGAAGGATTACATGTTTTGGTTGCACTTTATTTTACAGTAAAAAAAAATACCAGGTATTGACTTAGAAATGACATGATTAATGGTCATTATCGTGTAATAACCTATACATGTACATTACATTTGATTCTTTGGGATTCAAAACATGTACAAGTTGGCACCATTTGGTACTAGTTAGTTATAAATACCAAGTACATACCAGTGGAAACAGTACTGTAGAATAAAGTGCTACTAATGTTTCTATGATTGCATTCTTTAGCAGACCATAGCTACCTCTCCTCCCACTCTATTGACATAGAGATGAGTAAACACATTTCCCCCTGATCTTTGAAAACATTGTATCTTAATCTTAGCAGTCTTCTTTCTCTTTACAGAAGGAAGTTTGGATTACCACTGGGACACTTGTCTTAAAGGTTACAATCAGATAAACAGGGTAAGTCAACAAGAGATGGAACTATGGTAAAATACAATTACAACCTTATTCTTAACCTATTTGCACAGCTGGATTTTATTGGAATGAACTTAATAGGGACCACCAAATGTACTCATATTAACCTCTCCTCTCCCTTTCCCACTGCTCTTCCCCCCCTCCCCATGCCCAGCCTCAACATCTGTCCAATGGCAGTGAGGCTGATAGTGATGAGGATGGGGCCATACTGGGGGTGTGTCCCGGTCAGAAGTTCCAGGTGTCGGAGCTGCTGTCTCACCTGCTGGCCACGCCGGCACCCACCAATGACGTGCTGCTGCAGCCTTATCTGGCCAGCTGGGACGAGCTCATCAAGTAAGCCCATCAGGCAGGACACACAGACACAGAGACCAGACTTCAGCCAGTCAGTACACTCACTGGCTGAATAAAAGGGACATTCACATCTGCTTGGATGAACCAGGGTGAATGAACTCAAAACAGAGTGGTGGATTATTTGGGCTCTGTGTGGTTGCTGATTGTTTCTCTCCTCCTCCTGCTCCTCCATCTGTGACAGGTTCCTGGAGGCTCTTGGTCCGATGGTTGGACTCATATCTCAGGAGATTGAAACCAAAACTTCCATCATCCGTGACCTGGCCCTGCGGGAGGCAGCTAGCAGCGACGAGGGAGAAGTGGGCCTAGCATTGGGGTTGGTGTCTGGGACCAGAGCGCATGGTGGTGGACAGGAGGGGATGGAGGCCTCAGTGGCAGCGCCAGGCAGTGCCTACCTGTCTTTGCGCTCTATGATCCACACTGAGTTGAGCCGGGGCCTGGTGGACTTCCAGCAGACAACAAACTCTGGGTGTCGTACTCTGCTCCGGCTGCACCGGGCTCTGTTGTGGCTGCAGGTCTTCCTGGAGAAGCTGGGGGAGGGGCCTGTGGGCGGCCGGCTGCGGAGCCCCTCGGATCTCTGCCGTGAGGCCTATCAGCACACCCTGGCCCACCACCACTCCTGGTTCGTACGCAGGGCAGCGGAGATAGCCTTCATCGCCATGCCTGAGCGGGGCTTCTTCTACAGGCTGGTGTGTGTGACGAACCAGGAAGAGGCCAGCGTGGTGCTGAACAGGGTGGTCCGGGCCATCGGAGAGGTGTATGACAGAACTCAGGGGGTCCTGGAGGAGCATGGCATGCTGGACCTGCCGTAGGAAAGGAGCGGGGGGGGGGGGGGGGGGGGGGGGTTATATTTCTGAGGGACCAGCCACATCTGGACATTACAGTAATACTCTTTTCACACTACTGTGCCGAACAAGCTGAGCTGAGCTGTACTACGCTGGCCAGGTTACGCATCCACCACGGTTGGAATCATGCTGGAAAGGACAATGTGAAAATAAAATAGCAAAACCAGCACATTACATTTGAGTCATTTAGCAGACGCTCTTATCCAGAGCGACTTACAGTTAGTGAGTGCATACATTTTCATACTGGCCCCCCGTGGGAAACGAACACACAACCCTGGCGTTGCAAGCGCCATGCTCTACCAACTGAGCTACAGGGGAATTGTTACTGTTCGGGTTAGCATAATAGCATGAATTAGGTCTTACAGTCTATCGCCTGGTGCCTTGTTCCAAATGCTGTACTATCTTTTATCAGGCTAAAGTTCACATGCATGCAAGAACAATGAGCTGCTCAAGAAATCATGAGTGAGTGCTCTCAACAGAGTTTAACAAAAGGGCCAATTTGTATTAGGGGCCATATGACCAAAGTGCTGGTGAAAACAGTCAACTGAAGCAAAATGTCTTCATTTTACAATTAATAAGTCATTGTCATGTCACTGTTTGTTTGTGTGAGATCACATACTGGACTTTTTATGGTGTTGGAAGACCATAGACTGGTTGAAAAACAAGTCTAACTTATTACGTATTGTTGTAAATTCTGAAGATACTGCCAATGTAATTCCATAAGTCAGTGATTGTTGTGTTGTTGTATGTTGATGCGTAATTCGGCATTGCCATCATTGAATCAGAGGCCAATCGCAAGACAAAGGACTTTGTCCATGCCCCACATCGTGATTATGTAATGATTTTATCTGGGATAATTTGTGAAGATCTTCTATGGCTGCTGGACACATCAGATGGACTTTATTCAGGGTAATCCAAACCACATTTACAATGCAGTGATTCACTATGATCTTAGCTACTGTTGTTGTCATGGTTTAAGTACGTATGCATTACTACAAAATTGACACTGTAGAAGGAATCTTTTTGATGTGTTGAAATTTTTTTAATGAATCTGTAACTTAAACAAATGAAGCAATCCCACATGATACATGTTACTGGCCTGGCTACCCAAACTCCTTGCTCCGGCCAAACTGTACGCCACTCCCACAGACATTAGTTTCTTCTCTGCAATGAGTCTGGATCTGAGTACCTCCCGTACGATTTCGAGAATGGAAATACGTTCTAGACCAGGGATGGATAACTTTGATGAGGGTGGGGGCCACAAAAAATCTGAACTCATCAAGGGGGCCGCAGTGGCTCACGGGTCTGCATACCCACATCCATACCTACACATGCAGTCAGAGCCGGCCCTAGTCTTTTGGGGGCCATAAGTAAAATGTTCTTGGGGGGTGTGAGCAAAATATCTAGCGGAGAGAGATTTAGTTTAGAGTTAATTTCCTGCAATTCTACTCATTTTGCCATGGACAGAAATACATTTCTGTTTTAAAGCAAATTCCCTGCAATTCTACACATTTTGCAATAGAGTGTAGAGAAATGTTAATTTTTTATATGATAGCTGAGTGAGAGTTACTAACAAAATCAAGTGGGGCCCCACTGTCGGTAATTAGACCATGATTACTACAAGTTTAGATAGCTGGCTAGACTAACTTACCAACCTAAAATATGTTAGCTTACATGGGCTAATTGAATGCATTGAGAGAAAAACTGCTGATTTTATTTAGTTGGAAATTGAGTCACGGGCCTACAAAAGGGGGTCTGCGGGCCGCATGCGACCACCACTTCCCATCCCTGTTCTAGACCGTCTGATTGGTCCCACAAACCAATGGGTTGGACCAGAGCCAGGACACACGTTGGTAAAGCGACGTTTTGAAAATTAGTCATTGGCTTTGATACTCTGATTGGTTAGAGATGATCCAATTGCTGATGACTTTGTTTTGTATAACACCCCTCATTTTGACATCACCATAAATTACTTCAATGATTGCAGCAAAGATGTCATGGCGACGACGTTGGCTAGCTAAGCTCATGCATAGAAACACGTCATCGGATCTAACAGTCGTCTCACACCGAACTGTGGCAGGTAGCTTAGTGGTTAAGAGCGTTGTGCCAGTAACCGAAAGGTCGCTGGTTCTAATCAAATAAAATAAAATAAAATAAAATTTTATTGGCCACATGCGCCGAATACAACAGGTGCAGACATTACAGTGAAATGCTTACTTACAGCCCTTAACCAACAGTGCTAAAAAAAATAAAACAACAACAAAAAAAGTGTTGAGAAAAAAAAGAGCAGAAGTAAAATATAATAACAGTAGGGAGGCTATATATACAGGGGGGTACCGGTGCAGAGTCAATGTGCGGGGGCACCGGCTAGTTGAGGTAGTTGAAGTAATATGTACATGTGGGTAGAGTTAAAGTGACTATGCATAAATAATTAACAGAGTAGCAGCAGCGTAAAAGGATGGGGTGGGGGGGGCAGTGCAAATAGTCCGTGTAGCCATGATTAGCTGTTCAGGAGTCTTATGGCTTGGGGGTAGAAGCTGTTGAGAAGTCTTTTGGACCTAGACTTGGCACTCCGGTACCGCTTGCCGTGCGGTAGCAGAGAGAACAGTCTATGACTAGGGTGGCTGGAGTCTGACAATTTTGAGGGCCTTCCTCTGACACCGCCTGGTATAGAGGTCCTGGATGGCAGGAAGCTTGGCCCCAGTGATGTACTGGGCCGTACGCACTACCCTCTGTAGTGCCTTGCGGTCGGAGGCCAAGCAGTTGCCATACCAGGCGGTGATGCAACCAGTCAGGATGCTCTCGATGGTGCAGCTGTAGAATTTTTTGAGGATCTGAGGACCCATGCCAAATCTTTTCAGTCTCCTGAGGGGGAATAGGCTTTGTCGTGCCCTCTTCACGACTGTCTTGGTGTGTTTGGACCATGATAGTTCGTTGGTGATGTGGACACCAAGGAACTTGAAGCTCTCAACCTCTTCCACTACAGCCCCGTCGATGAGAATGGGGGCGTGCTCAGTCCTCTTTTTTTTCCTGTAGTCCACAATCATCTCCTTTGTCTTGGTCACGTTGAGGGAGAGGTTGTTGTCCTGGCACCACACGGCCAGGTCTCTGACCTCCTCCCTATAGGCTGTCTCATCGTTGTCGGTGATCAGGCCTACCACTGTTGTGTCGTCGGCAAACTTAATGATGGTGTTGGAGTCGTGCCTGGCCATGCAGTCATGGGTGAACAGAGAGTACAGGAGGGGACTGAGCACGCACCCCTGAGGGGCCCCCGTGTTGAGGATCAGTGTGGCAGATGTGTTGTTACCTACCCTTACCACCTGGGGGCGGCCCGTCGGGAAGTCCAGGATCCAGTTGCAGAGGGAGGTGTTTAGTCCCAGGATCCTTAGCTTAGTGATGAGCTTAGAGGGCACTATGGTGTTGAATGCTGAGCTGTAGTCAATGAATAGCATTCTCACGTAGGTGTTCCTCTTGTCCAGGTGGGAAAGGGCAGTGTGGAGTGCAATATAGATTGCATCATCTGTGGATCTGTTGGGGCGGTATGCAAATTGAGTGGGTCTAGGGTTTCTGGGATAATGCTGTTGATGTGAGCCATGACCAGCCTTTCAAAGCACTTCATGGCTAATCCCCGAGCTGACTAGGTGAAAAATCTGTCGATGTGCCCTTGAGCAAGGCACTTAACCCTAATTGCTCCGGTAAGTCGCTATGGATAAGAGCGTCTGCTAAATGACAAAAAAAAAAATATATATATATATATATTTAAAAAAATACCTCAATAAGAAACAATATTGTTGCTTTGATCACATCAGAAGATATCCTCCTCGCAATCTCCAAAATACAACAGTCACAGGACAACTTTGTTTGGACGTCGTAAAGGACCATTTGCCGAAAGTGAAGAGATATAGCTAGCTAACGACCTCCTTTTGCACGTAGAAAAAAAACGGTGGACAGAGACTTGCTAGCTGCGTTAGCTAGCTAGCTGGGATTTCCTACAAGGAATCTGCCTCCCGAAAAAAGCTTCTCCCAAGCGGTTGTGACACCTACTCCCGTTGCCTGCTGCACTGCTGCTTAGATTCCACCTGCCGATCAGTTCACTGTCTGCCCTGGCCTGTTTCCCCCTGTCTGGTACAGGTACCCCCGCCACACTCCCCCCTCTCTCCCGAGCTTTTGCTCGCCTCCAGCACACATGCACTTACAAACACACCGCAGACTCTGGACTGATCGGAATTTTAGGTAGGCTAATTAACTTGTGAAGCTTATTATGTGAGCTTACTCAGAAACGCTTTAATTAAATAGTATAGGCCTCCTATTCTTTTTATCTCATACTTTTATAGCCTACTGGACTCATAGAGAGGTACTCTCTCAAGTTATCTTGTTGGGGCGAGTGACTCTTTGAACTTACAATGGCTAGCCCCAAGTCGTTATATATTTTTTCTTGTGCTATTTGCCTCATGACTCCTGCGTGCTTTGTTGACTATGAACTTGCTTGTTTACCCAACTGTGGGACAGACTATGTTTGTTCCCACACTCCTGACTCTCTATTGGTTACACGGACTCTTGGCCTCCCATCCAATTCTAACCACCTCTCGCCGGCTTTGTATTCATGTTACCTGATGAAATTGCTGTACAATATGATCTTGTTGCCATCTGATGCACATTCAAATGCTGATGATATCTAGAAATGTGAATGTACACCCTGGCCCATCTACTGTTGCTAGCCCCAATTCTGACTTGTGCTCTGATGTCTGTTTCATTGATTTCTGCTCTCATAAAAGCCTGGGTTTTTTGCACATTAACACTAGAAGCTTATTACCTAAAATTGATCAATTGAAAGTGTGGGTTCACAGCTCCAATCCAGATGTGTTGGTCATTACTGAGACGTGGTTAAGAAAGAGTGTTTTGAACACTGATGTTAACCTTTCTGGTTATAACCTTTTTCGGCAAGACAGATCTTCCAAAGGTGGTGGAGTGGCAATCTTTACCAAG